ACTGGACCACGGAGAGAAGGAGGTGAAGTCAGCACAGCTGCCTGGGCCCAAAGCACGTCTGTGACTGATCTAAACAAACAAAGATTAGGACTCTGGTCTGCACCACAGACCAAACCCATAAAAGAGGGGAACTGAGCATCACTTACATCACGGGATGGTTATGCAGTACCATTTTGTAAGTTGCCTGGGAAGAGCATGTCCCACAGACACAACATGAGAGGGTCACAGAGTCATTTTCCATGATGTCTTATTAAATGGGAGCCAAATATTATCAAATATCTGTTATTTAGAAACAAGAGTGTGAGCATCCTGTTGGCAAATAAGCAAACAGATTTGAAATCAGTTAAGGCTTAGACACACCCAGACATAAATTCCTTAAGTAACAAAGTCCTTATGTTGTCTTTTGGGAAAAGCTCTCAGAATTCACTCAAGGACTGTTTGAAATAGGCTTTTCAAGAACAGACATGAAAAGAAGCAGCCAGCTCATAGGGTCAATGGCCTCTAGATATCACAAGTGCAAAGACCCCTCAATAGAGCATAACTCCCCTGAGACCTGTGACCTGTGACAGGGCACAATGACCATCCACCCTATGCAAAACAAAATAAAACCTAAAACTGGGCTGCAGGTCTATCTCAGTAGCTCAGTGATAGAGCACTTGCATAGCTTCTATGAGGCTCTGGGGTCATCACCAGCACTGCAGTGAAAAAGATAAAACACCTAAAACTTCTCCCTCTCATCATTCAACCAACAAGCAGCTTCTCCCCTCTTCCTTCCCATGAACTCCCCTGCTACCAACCATCAACAGATGAGAAAAGCTTTCTTTTTTTTAAATTTCCTGTCCACTTGACAGTTAAACTTCAATAAAAAGTTTTTTCTTTTTTTTTAAAAACCAGGTGCCAGAGAATTGGCTTCTGTGTGAGCTGGGCAGCAGCTCCCTGCTCAGTATCAGATTATGAGACCTACTAAAGCAATTGTTTTTCCAAATGGAGTAAATAGGGCCTGAAGTGTCACGATGTGAAGGATATGCTTCCTAAGGGTTTACACCCTTCATAAAACAACATCTAAAAAGGACCAGAAATTCTATTTTGAGAGAATTAAGTTGTGGTTAGCCTTCAGAAGAACTGGGACATAGTAGTATTTTTTTATATACCTTTATTTTATTTGTTTTTATTTTTATGTGGTATCAGGGATAGAACCCCGTGCCTCACGAATACTAGGCAATCGCTGCATCAATGAGCCACAACCCCAGCCCCAAAGCAGCATTTTTGATAAAGCTAAGCTCACCCTGATACTTTCTTGCAGTGGCCCTTCTGGGGATCAAACCTAATGGTGTGGACCTAGGACACTGGTCTATGGCATAAGAATTCATGTCAATGCCCCTGTTTATTTTATTTTATTTTTTTAATTCGTCAAATGGGAAGACTCCTAGCACCTTGTTGCCCAAGAAGTGGTAAGGAATAGCAAACAACTGTAATGAATGAGCCTGAAGGAAATTTGCAAATGTGCTGTCAAAATGCTCAGGACAAGGACAGATTTTCCTGGTCATGAGGTTTCCCCAAAGTTAGAGAGTAATTTGTGCAGCCTGTCAGTGCAGAACTGACTAGGGGGTTGGAGTCTTTGGTGGTCTCCCTGACTTCCCTGCATGCCTTTCTGAATAGTGTCACCATTTAGGATTGATTTATGGCTTCGGGATTGGCCAGCAAGCCCGTGCTGTGTAATGACTGAGGTTGGGAGCCTGTTCCACGCCTGCATCTGTCATTTGCAAAGGCAATATCATTTGCAAAGTCAGAACCATTCAGGGCACATCCAGGGTGCCTGTGGGAGCACTGGGATGGGTAATGAATCCAAACTCACTTTCCGGCTTGCTCACATGACAAATCGTCTGGTACAGTGATGAAGAGAAATGAAGACAGGCTATATCCCCTCTGTGCACATTCCAGTTAATTTCCCAGAAGCAAGCGCTAGTAATGCAGGTTCCAAGCACAGAGTTGTCTAGGGTGACAAATGAAGAAGCAGTGGGATTTTTGTGTTTTGGTTGGGTGGGGGAGGGTAAAAGATATGAGTTTGATTTTCTGTTTTTTTTTTTTTCCCCTCCAGAACAAGAAGAAACTATATGGGTAAGAAACTTCCCCTTTCGAAGGAACCAATGCAAAGACTAAGTTTGACACCCTGAAAGGTGTTTAGTATGCTAACAAAATGCTGCATAATGTGGCTTCAGAGCACTGATGGAATTGATAAAAGAAATCTGGGCCATCCTGCTGTGCCGGATACCCCTGCTGTGCAGAGCAAGGCAGCTAATATATTATAGAGCTTGATGAAAAGGGGGAGCAGGTCAGCCACGTGGGCTCAGAGCTGCCAAGGTCTCTGAAACTGTGAAAAGTGATGCAGTTTGATCCTGCCACCAACTGGCTAGGTGATTTGAGTAAATCTTTGTCTTATCTTTCTGTGCCCTGAAAGAGGATAGTTTCTAGTTGATTAATCACTTTGCAAATACAATGTGCAGACACCAAATATTGAATAAATGCTATGGCTGAGAATCTGAGAAAATGTTATGGCAAAGATCTTTCAAAGCTTATAAATAACAATGGACTGTAAGGACCTAGGGAGGGTATTAAGGACCAAGGGAGGGTAGTAAGGACGGAGGAATGAAAGAACAAATGTACTAGCTAATAGGTGTTTTGGGAAAGACATTGCTGGCTGGCTTGTGAGGCTGCCATGCTACCATAACTCATCAATGGGCTGCTCAACAAGCTCTTGGTGATGTAAGTTAGGTAGAGAAAGGACAGCTGATAGAAGTGTGTGCCTGGCTGCTCAACAAGCTCTTAGTGATGTAAGTTAGGTAGAGAAAGGACAGCTGATAGAAGTGTGTGCCTGGAGACCAAGGATTCCACCAGTTATCCTGATGCCAGGAGATAACTCCATCACTGTGTCTCCTGCAGACACAGCATTTATGTTAAGTCTATGCTTCACATACCCATAGAAACACTATGATCATTACTCTGGATGCAGAACAGAAGGAAGGGAACTCCTGGAATTGAGCTGACAGATGCCTGCAGGGAGTGGGGAGTGGGGTGGTTTCATACTCCTCCTTCTAAGAGGGCAGGTGGCTGGTTGTTAAGGCTAGCTGATGTTAAAAATATGTTTAATTTAACAAGAGACTTTAAACTAGTAATAAAATAAATCTTAATGTTTCCCTATTTGTTTACAGTAAAACCTAACTGTAACCATAAGGAAGTTACTTTATCTAAATTAAAAATAATTTCATTTGTGTATATTCATTCATCCTTCCCACCATCAATTCAACAAGTATTTATTGAAATCATAAAGACATGTCTCTCTTTAAAAACTATGTGAGCAATATAAAATACATAACAGTGACCTCATAAGGTGGTATCTTGAATTTCATCTCCATCATGATCTATTGTTATTATATTTGCGGACATGATTCTCATTTTATAGAAACCAACAAGGACCTCCTTAATTACCTTCTAAGTTCTCTAGACTTGACATCCCTCTCCAGATCTTCCTTCCTTCCTTCCTTTTTTTTTTTTTTGAACTCACAAATCGAGTTTGTTTAACAGCAGAAATGACAGAAATGAAACTTTATAAAACTTAACTTGAATTTTTTTTAATGACTTGGGAAAACCAAGCCTTACAATGTCTTGGGAAAACTATTTCTGGGTTCATTAAGTAGGATTCCAAATTTTAAGAATTGTGATAGACCAGAATATAATTACTATTTAAGCTTCTATAAGATCTATTTAGTAATGGTCCTCCTAGTAGAGAATAAAATCACAGTGTTTTTAGTGGGTCTTATATCCACTTAGGACAGAGGGAAGGAGAACTCAAGGACTCAGCCTGAATCTCAGTTACTACAGAACAAGCTGCTTGATTTATCTTTTTTCCTCCTATACAATAACTTGAATTTTGTAGAATTTTTATAGATTAAAAATTGATTCCATATATTTTTATTTATGGCAACTCTCTAAAGTAGGTAATATTTCCATTTAAATAGATAAGGATAGCCTTATTATTATTATTATTATTATTGGTTATTTACTATAGTGTTCTAAATTCTACCAAAAAACTTTCATATACTAATCTTATATCATTCTGAGTCTTATATTCCTGTGATATAGACAAGATATACAACTATAACCCTCATTTAATCATTACAAAAGGTTCTTATAACAAGTAAGAGGCACAAATGGGCATTGTCAGAGGCCTGGATAGCCAGTGGAGCATCTATCACCCCACCACATTGTCCAGTGGCAAAGGTGAGCTAGGTGATGGTGGTGAGGGGTGGTTGAGCTGGGTCATTTATGAGCATAGATGATATGGAAAGTCCATGGCTATGCCAGACATAGGAGTGGCTCTAATTTCATCATCTTGGAGCAATAGCAGAAAGAGAGGAAGAAAATGATATGTGGAACAAACATTCGCAAGGAATAGTGCTGGGTAAATCCCCAAACCTTACAAAGTCTGCTAAGTAGGGATGCCAGATAATACATAAAATTCCTATAGTATCCATACAATAATGGTGGGGGAGGCATACTTATACAAAAAAATTATTTGTTTATCTGGAATCCAAATGTAACTGGGTATCTGTATTTTTATTGGTTTAATCTGTTAGTCTTAACGAAAAGACAAGCCAATCTTCAGCCAGTTGCTCACATCACTATTAAATATACACATCAACACAATGGTGACAACAATCCACAAATAGTCATTGTAACTGGAGGCCTCCACTGAGATAATGTCCTATTTTCTCTGAGTAACCTAAAGTTAGTTTTAAGTATTTCTAAAACTCTCCAATTTGGAAGATGATACATTATACAATGGTTAGCTAATGCTGATCCATGGCTCTGAACTAGTAATTTAGTACAGACTGTCCCTCTGTACCACACTTCTCCCTAGATAGCAATTGGACTAAGTGTCCCACACCCAGCTCTGGTTCCATGTTTACCACACTTATTATTCAAATAGAATAATCACTTACTTGTATGGGATGTGTTTGCTGCCATTGACCAGAGCGAGGATGACATTGCCCAGTGCAGACAATGAGAGGCACAGCCCTGAACCTCCTTCTCGATTTTTGCTAAGAGCTTTCACACAGCTGCCAAGATCAATGAGATGCAGGCGACTGCGACCTCCAGACACTATGGTGGGAGAGAAGCAAAAAGAAGGGAGAATAAGTGAGTTACAGCAAACACTTCTTCATGCAGTTCTTTGGGAAATCTGAGAAGAAAAGGGGAAAGAAAAGGTTGACATTCATGATCTAGTGGAAATCCTAACAAAATTATACTGGATTACAAATAGCACTGGTCCTCTTAAATTCTGTCTATTTCAATCACTGACCTTCCAAAACCTGATATTCATACTATAAACAAATGAATAATTCTAGCAGGTTGGATTGGATGAGGTTTTAGGAAAAGAAAATGTCTAATTAAAAGAGAAAAAAGGTTTATACCTCAATGTCCTCTGGATAGCAGAATTCTGAAACCCATCACGTTAAAATCTTATTGGCCCACAAGTGATTGTCTACTTTAGTTGATCATTGAACCCAAAGTTCAGCCATGAATCACGTTGATAACCCAAGTAAAATCCAGAAGAAGTAAGAATTAGGTATAGAGAGAGTGAAGACCCAAATATTTGCTGAGCATCTGCCAATTGCCAGGTACTTCACAAACCACAGTCTCATTCAGTTTTCATGGTAAAATTATAAATAAAATACTATTATCCTTTTCTATAGATGACAACATAAAACTCAGAAAAATTGGAAAATTTGCCCATGAGTATTTCTGCTTCTGGCTTAGAAGAAATAACAAGGACCAGATTGGTTCTCTTATTTGAAACAACCAAAAAATGAACAACATGTATAAAAGAACTGTTTGTAAGACATTAGACATCAAGCAGCAAAGAACAATGGTCCCTGAGAAATGGGGAGCTGAGCAAGGCAAATACTACCTATATCTCAGCATATTGCTTTGAGAGAGTTTCCAGGTATGGCTCAGGGAGAGGGGACTCAGGTGGAACCTAGTGGACTCCCTGAGTTGAGGACAGAGGGGAGGCCAAGGCAATAGTTTACTGGACAGTTGGAAAGGAGAGAACTCTAGAGACTTAGAGAAGGTCCCTTGTGTATTCAACTGAGTACTGATCAGCAAATGCATATGAGGAAAGTACCCACAGCCAGGGAACTGACCATCTGAAGAGAATAGAGGTTATAGTGCACAAGGCTGCAAAAACTGTTTTTCTCCCACCAGCCAGCCTGGGAAACCTCAATATTCAAAGGATATTAGGTAGAGTACTTAGAAGGGTCTTGCTTCAGTAATGAGGGACATTTAGTGCTAGATTGAGCACAGACCTGATTCCATCTAACAAATATTAAAAGCAAAACCATTAAGGATCAAACCATTTCCAAGTAATCAACTACATCCTCAAACAGAGCTTAAGAATTTTACAAGGTTCAAAAATATCTAGCCGCCAACAAGGTAAATCCAAATGTCTGACACCTAATAAAAAATAAAAACTAGGCATACAAGGAAGCAGGGAAATGAGATTTATAATGAAGGGATAATTGAAACCAACCCAGAATGAGCATAGGTGTTAGAATTGACAGAGAGAGCTATTAAAACAGTCATTAAAACTTATTTCAAATGTTCAAAAAGTTAAGCAGAAACATAGGGTATGTATTTTTAAAAAGACAAAATGAACCCCTAGAGATGAACACTGTAATGTGTGAGATGAAAAACATACGGGATAGAGTAGCAGATTAGATATTGCAAAAGGAAAGATGAGTAAATTTGAAGATTTAGCAATATAAATTCTTCAAAAGGAAATACACAGAGAGAATTTAAAGGTTAAAAACAAACAAAAAACAGGTAGACAAGAAAAAGAGTATTTCAAGTATCCAAATATATGTAACTGGAATTCCTGAGGGAGACAGAGTGTGTTACAGATGAAATACTTAAAGAAATAATGGCTAAAACTTCCATAAATTTGATTAAAATCATAAACCCACAGATCTGAGAATCTCAATCAGCTCCAAGCACAAGAAACATGAAGAAAACTACAGCAAGGCACATCATAATCACATTGCTCAAAACCAATGATCAAGAGAAAAACTGTAAAAACAGCCTGAGGAACAAAAACATATTATATACAAAGGAACAATGATAAGTATGATGGCACATTTCTCACTGAAAATAATACAAGTGAGAGGATGGTGCAGCAATATTTTTAAAGTACTACAAATTGTCAAACTCAAAGTATATACCCATAAAAAGGATCACTTCAAAACAAAAGGAAAATAAAGACATTTCCAGACTTTAAAAAGCTAATAGAATTCACCAAAGGCATACCCACAAAAGATAAACAAAAGGACAAAAAGATTTGGGAATAAGCACATGGTTAAATACATATTTTTTATTATTATTAAATCTCTTTACAAGGTAATTATTGGGCTGGGGATATAGCTCAGTTGGTAGAGTGCTTGCCTCCCATGCTCAAGGCCCTGGGTTCAATCCCCAGCACCACAAAAAAATAAATAAATAAACAGTGTTAAAAATCATAAAGGATATTAGGTAGAGTACTCAGAAGGGTCTTGCTTCAGTAATGGGAGACACTTAGTAGTACTGGATTGAGCACAGACCTGGTTCCATTTAACAAACATTAAAAGCAAGACCATTAAGGATCAAACTATTTCCAAATAATCAATTTCTTCAAACAGAGCTTAAGGATATTTACAAGGTTCAAAAATATCTAGCAGCCACCAAGATAAATCCAAATGTTTTACAGATGAGGTGTGTCCCCCAAAAATTCATGTGTGAGACAATGCAAGATCCGGTAAATTGATTGGATTATGAGAGGCCCAACCTAATCTGTGATGAATACGTAGAGATGAGTTAACTGAGCAGTAATTATAGACTGGTAGGATAAGGTTGGAGGAAGTATGGGGGTGTTCCTTTGGGGCTTATATTTTGTCCTTAGTGAGCAGGGCTCTCTCTTCTTCCTGGCTGTCACGTCCTAAGCTGCTTTTCTCCTCCATGCCCTTCTGCCATGAAGTTCTGCCTCACTTTGGGCCCTGAGCTATGGAGTTGATTCACCATGGACTGAACCTCTGACACCATGAGCCAAAATAAACTTCTCCTCCTCTATACTGTTCTTACAAGATCTTTGGGTCACAGCAATGAAAAAACTGACTAAAACAATATATGTAAAGTTAAAAAATTTTGACAACAATAGAACAAAGATCTGGGTGGAGAAATGGAAGTATACTAATGTAAGGTTCTTATTCTATACACCAAGTGGTGTAACATCACTGGAGAAGAGATGGCAGCAACTTAACAATAACACTACAAACCCTAAATAGCACTAAAAACAAAGAGTTACAGCTAATAAACCAAAAAGAGACATACAGCAAAATCACTAAAAGTGTTTAATAAATCCAAGAGGTGACAGATGAAAAGAAAAGAACAAAGAACAAATGAGACAAATGGAAAACATAGAAAAGCAGTACTTTGCATAAAACCTTATCAATAATCACATTAAGTATAAATAGTCTGCATACTCTTATTAAAAGGGAGAAATTGTCAGACAAATAAAAATGTGTGATTTTATTATACGCTTCCTATAAAGAAATGCACTTCAAATATAAATAAGCAGTAGATTAAATGCATAAGTAAAGGAAAAGCAAACATTAACCATAAGAGAGTGGAGTGGATACACCAGTATCAGACAAAGGAGACTGAAGACAAAAAAAAAAAATGTTCTGTGAGGCAAAGAGGAACCTTTCATAATGACAAGGAGGGCAAGCAAGAGGCCAGGACACAAACTGTTTATGTACCTAAGAGCAGATGTTCAAATATATGAATGTCTTCCTGATAGAACCACAGGAAGAAATAGATAATTATAGTTGGAGAATTCAAATACCATTTCTCAATAACTGATATAACTAGTAGACTGAAAACTAGTCAAGATTAGATTTGAACAACTTGTCCTTTATGTAACACTCAACAGCAGAATACACATTCTTTTAAAGGGTACATAAAACATTTCCCAATATCTACCATATTCTGGTCCATAAAACAGATCTAAATAAATTTTAAAGGATTCACATTACTCAGTGTGTTCTGTGACACAATGGGACGACATGAGCAGTGACTGTAGAAAGGTAACTGGAAAATCCCCCAATATTTTGAAACTCAACAACTCAGCCAAATAACTGATGGCCAAAGAAGACAACAAAATGGAACTTAAAAACTGTTTTTAAGTGAATAAAATGAAGATGCAACATGTCTAAATTTGTTAGCTTTCCCTAAAGATGGACTTGGGGAAAAATTTATAGCATTTTATGCCTATATGAAATATAACAGGAGGTCTCAAAATCAATGATTTCAACTTCCACCTCAAGAAATTAGAAAAAGATGAGCAAATTAAAGAAAAAATAAATAGCAGAAAGGACATAATTAACAAAAAGCCAGAAATCAATGAAATAGAAAACCATAAATTAATGGAGAAAAATCACTGAAACCGAAAGCTGGTTCTTTGAGAACAATGAAATTGATGAATCTCTACCTAGCACAACTGATGTGGAAAGAAGACCTGAACTGTCAGCGCAGGAATGAGGGAGAGGGGCTCATCTATAGTTTCTAAGGGTTTCAGAAGGATAAGAAAGAAATAGTACTCACTCAATTAGACAACGTGGAAGAATGGGCAAATTTCTTGAAAGATACAAAATACCAAAGAATATTAGAAAATATAAATAAATAGCCCTGTATCCATTAATGAAATAGAATCTACAGTTAACACCAGTCCACAAATGGAAACTTTCAGGATCAGATGGACAAACTGGTGAATTCTACCAACATTTAAAGAAGAAATAATACCAATTCTATTCAAACTCTTCCTGAAAATGAAATAGGAGGGAATACTTCCAAAGGTATACTATGAGACGAAGATTCTCCTGACACCAAAAACCTACACATACATACACACACACACACACACACACACACACACACACACACACACACACAAAACTGTAGACCAAGATCTAGAGAAGTTTCTAGAGAATCATATTTTAAAAGTTGTATTTAGCAACATATAAAAAAGATTTTACACTATGAGAAACTGGGGTTTATACCACAAATGTAAGGTT